TGCTTACAACTGCTGGCCCAACTTTTGCAAAGAAAAAATGTGGGTCAATGAAACGAATTTATGATGGGCGCTGGACTATCATTCCCATTCTGCCACAGTTCCCTTGCGCCGTAAGCTACCCAATACCGTGCCGAAGAAATTACGCTACTTGGAGTAGTTTCCAGGAACACTGGAAACATAACAAATCGAAGAGTTGATGCAAGCATATCAATTTTAATATTTCCGAACTCCCAATCAATTGAAAACTTGGAATTTTGCATTCTTTAAGTGTTCCTTTGTGGATATCAAAGTACTCATGTATCTACTGGACTGGTCCCTAGAATTTTTGGTTCCGCAATGTTTTTCACCCCATCAAATCTCCGAATTCTGGCATGAGTTCACACTGACCCAAACGACTTTATAGCATGCATTGTGGCGGGTTCTAGAACATCGAACCACCAACGGGTCTCTCTGAGAGCAAAACTGGGATTCTTAAAATGGAAACAGGACTTTCCGACCCCAGAGAGGAGCCATTCACGCTCGACAACAAATTTTCTACGATTGTGTAAAGTGGGGAATATCTGTCGCACAAGATTACCTGAGTAAACAATGATTAGATTTCAAAGAAAGAGATGAATAAAGGTATTTCCCGCAGAGCGAGTTGCACGAACTTTTTGAATGCCTTTTGTGTCTAAGTGCTCAGCAGCTTTTTCCTGTGAATTTTCCCACTGTTGCCTGCTTTGCCGTAATCCAACTTCAAGGTGCAACACGTCCTCTCCTTTGCTAATGGAATGTAGCGTTAGAGAGTTATTGTTGAAGCTATTAAAAATGATTGTACGGATTGACGCGTCTTTCATGAATAATGTAATAAATAACCCACACTTCTATATTGGTTGTGTAGAAACTGGAAGCCTACAATGCTTTAAAATTCTATTTGGACAGGATTGGAAAAACAGGGGAAGGACTTCAGAAAACGATCCAAGATAGAAAGACCCATACATTTTCCAAACTGTCGCTGAGTAGGAAGACCTCATATCGTATTGAGCCATGACATCCAATAAAAAGGAAATAAAGAAATTTGAACATAGGTGTGAGGATGTTAAGATGCTGGCGGAGCTGAGACAGTTGGAAAAGTTTAAGAACGCTGACCCACGGGAGAAGGGAAAGATGAGAGTTCGCCTTGATGGGTATCAGGAGTACCCTTTCCGTGAAGCGGCCGAGAAGTACCAAAAACAGTTTTACCCAAAAGCAGAGGAAAGCGCTCACTCATTCCCTCCCAGTTACATTCTCAGAGAAAAAGAACATCAGCAACTATTTCAGAAATTGGAAGCAGCGAAACCGAGCAAGGAAGATGGTAAATATGCTGAGATTTCTCCGGATTTCACAGCTGTAGCCAAAGTCTTCACCTTTCTCAAGGATGAATTGACAGACTTTCCCAGTTTCGTAACATATGAGTACAACATAGAAGAAACATTTTGCAAGGCAATGAGTATTCAAAGGCCCCAGAAAGGGGACAAATATTGGGAAAGAGCAGGAATAAATATCTTCATAACTGACTATGATGTGTGTGGAATAGTCTTGGATTGTGATCGCGTTCTCTTCCTCACCTTCGAGGTGAAGAGCAGGGAGAGAACTGAATGCAAGCACCCCCTGACGACTCTATTAGGGTATGCTGAAAATCAACTTAAAAAATGCCAGCTTGCTGTTAAACAGATCGTAGGAGCAACTGCTTTCTCACACACTTTCATCGCCAGCTTCATTGCTCTCCCTTTTCTGGCGAGAAGTGAAATCGCTGCTTCCTTGAAATGTGACTGCCACGTGAACATCCTGACGAAGGACGACCTGGAATCTCGTGGTGCCTTTAGAAAATTCATTGGGAGACACAATATCTCTCTCTCATCGCAGAACACACTTCAAGAACCAGCAGTCAAGGAATGTTACTTAGATGTGATGAGAACATTTGTGGCAGCCTCGGCATCAGTGCAGGAAATGCCTCGGACAGTGGAAGATCTCCACAAAAAAATTGACGAAAGGATGAAAAGAGCTCTGCTTCTTCTCACTCCCCATCAGAAGATGATCCTAGAGGAAAAAAAGGCAGTTCTTTTTCTTGCTGGAGATCCAGGCACTGGTAAAACATACCTCCTTCTCAAGAGAGCCGAACAACTGGCAGAGAGAAAGGAAAAAGTTATTCTCATTAATATGTCCAAGGGGAAGCTAAGCCATGAATTAAGAAAGTGGCAGGAGGGACAGGAATCCAAGAGCAACATCGCAGTCATGGATTCTGCTGAATTTCTAGGCAATGACTCCGAAAATCTGGAATATTTCCTAGAAAAGATCAATAACCATGAAGATAGGCACATCCTGGTCGATGAAATGCGGGTAAAATTCAGCATGAAGAGAACGAAGACAGAGGAGATCGGGCGAAGATGGAGAGACTTTGCAGAAAAAGTGAAATGTCGAAGTATTTGGATCGCCTGGCGTCCCAGCGACACGAGTTACACTTACCCAGAGTATCTTGATATCCAAAGAGTCATCGGTTCATTGGGGGAAGACAAGGTGGAGCAACTAAAGGAGATCAAAAGAAGTACTAAGGAATTAGGAGAGCTTTCATTAGAAGTTTCCAGGTTCACTCAAAAGATATTCCTAAATCGGTGGAATATGCCAATGCATGGCTTCACATACGGACGAAAGGGTGAGAACGCGATTGCGGAAAAGCCCAAAGTGATCTTTATCAAAACTCCTCTTAAAGTCCATAAAGACAATCGAGTACATATATGGGCGTCAGAGGCTGCGTCTTGGCTCCGTCAGGAATTACTGGAAGATGTAAATGCCGCAGATGACCGACGCTTGAGCATCATCACCAGGGCAGACTGGGAAAGAAACCGGCTGATAAGAGAACTTGGAGGTCGCCTCAAAGAGCGGGTCGCCTTTCTTGACTCAGAAGGGAGACTTCGGGGAAATTCCACTCCTGGATTTCTTATCCTGACTCAAAAACAAGTAACAGGGATGTCATTTGAGAATCTTATCCTCTTGGATGATGCAAACAAAGTCTACCATTCATGGTCTCAAATGGTGAGCATGGCACGAAGAGCCCTCTATGTCATCACCACTATTCCATTGTATTCTGGTCACTGGGAGGAGCCTGTGTTGCGAGGACTCATCTCCCCCCTCTCACTCCGAAAACCTGGCCGGAGATCGGAGAAGGGTTTGGGTGATGAACTAGATGAAACTACTTATCCAGAGATTCTATGGGCGAATCTAAGGCAAGAAAATGTTTTGTTTCCTTCATGTGTTGATGATCCTAAGGAAGAAAGAATTCAGCTTCTCTTCGGACCAATCCGTTCTGGAAAAACTGCATATCTCTTGAGTAGACTTCAGAGACAGACAGGTCAGGGAAAGAAAGAGATGCAGCGGAACCCGATAGGGGATGGTCTGCGGAAGACTTCGTCGAGAGGAATCAGATTCGTATTCATCGACTGCAGCAGATGGCACAAGGAGGTATATCCAAAAAATCTCGTATTGGTTGATATCAAAGAGTGGATAAGGATGACAGGGCTAGAGAACACTGTCGATACCTTCGACATCCACGACCTCTTGGATCTCCATGGACTTGGGCACAGAGCATATCTTTCCCCGGATGTCATGAGACGACTTCTCGAGAAGATGCTGCAGACAGCGGAGAAGGAAGGACAAAAGCTCCACATTGCTTTCGACAATGCCCCTGTGCATCCTATTTTCGAAGATCCTACAGACACAGAGAGTTTGAGGGGAGACTGGGAGTACATTCTCAAATCCCTCTCCTCTCAATTTCAAGTCTCTCTCGCTTCTCTCACCATAGCTTTTCATCCCTACGTTCAATTCAAAACCATCACCTTCAATGTGAATGACTTCGAGAGTAAATTTCAACTATCTCCAGAAGAAGGTAAAATCCTCAGCTGTGTTGGGGGTAACAGCAGTAAAGGAGTGGTCAGCAGATTGATTGATAACGTATCGAACTTCCTGGAGTCAAGTGTTCCATGACAACGTACGTGCGTGCAAAAGGCAAATTAACCCGTACGAAAGTCTAATAGGAATCCAATTGTTATATGGAAAGTACCCTTACGGAAAAAAGCCTATAGTATCCTATACAAATCAAATAAGATTCCTATGATAATTATATACGATTTTGATGTTTTAAAAATCTCATAGGATCCTGTAGGATCTTTTTATGAGGGTAATGATTAACTTATCGAGAAACATATGGTGGAAGATTCAAATTAATTGATAGTATATCTAACGAAATTAAAAATTCGGTTAAGTGCTTATCCTGGTAATAATTATAAATTTAAATGAAGTGTAACGTAATATAAAAAGTAAAAATGCACGTACCTGTTTCCGAAGCTGTGTAGAATACAATAAAATCGAATGTTTCTATGCCCGAAACTTGATTCAGGTAGAATTAAGCGGTTGATCTGTTTATGAACATCTCAAGCAAATCTTGCTTGAGATGTTCATCAACAAAAAATCCTCGACCTTGCGTCTTTCAGATTAACAGAATGAAACTACGGGGTGGCACAGAAACATTGGTTAGAACATTAAAGCATTTTCACAGAAACATGGCTATGAAATGTCACCAAATCGAGAGGTGATGTCACCATTAAAGTGTTGTCACAGGCAACTCATCGACACCCAAGCTGTGGATGTGACACCATCCTGATAAAGGAAATGTCCTTGAAAAGAAGTCACTGATGTTGTAGGACATTTAATTTGAGAAGGACGGTGTCACATTCCATACAACTCATGTGTCGATGAGTTGCCTGTGACAACACTTCAATAGTCACATCATCTCTCGATTTGGTGAATTTTCACGGCCCGCAATACCTCTAGATCTAATCTCACCAATTGCTCTTTATGGGGCTATTTAAAAGAAAAGGTGTACCAAAATAGGCCTCGCACATAACAGGAATTTGAAGAAAGCATTAGTGCAGAAGTAGCCAGAATAACTGCAGCATTTTGCAAAGCGATTATCAAGAACTTCAAAGATGAAACGTCTTTTACTTGAATTATAAGACGCTGAATAGTGTTTGTGCCAAATCACAGTTTTCGGAGCATAAATAAAAAAAATGAAGCAATTGCATCGATTCAACATTACTGCGGCACCCTACAAATCTAAAAATAAATTTGAACGTGAAGGTAGATCCTCCAAAAACAATGATTAATAGCACTGACAACAGTTACCGAAGACCAAATTAGGCCAAACATAGCAACATTTTAAAACTTTAAATTTGCATAAAAGCTTTTCCAGATATCGTGAAAATTGATTGAATACGAGTATATATAGGGTCGGCCAAATGAAAAAGAGTATTACCTTTTTCATTTCAGAGTAATATTGGATAATTATCATGCTTCAATATTCTGTTCAAGAGCGTGTATGGATTGTCGAACATTATTTTCGAAGCTATGGATCCCACCCTGTATTTTTAAACTAGCCTCATAAATGCATTCCTAGAATGGACAAGTTAAATTGTTCTTATTGTGCATTTGTTTCAGTTGAAATTCTTACACCTGAAACTAAAAAAAAACTACTGAATATGAAAATTTTCTGATTGAGTTTCAGAAAACGTAGAATAAGTTGTGATTGATTGGGTTCAAGCTTTAAAATGAGTTATTACCTGGCATTCCAGCTTGTGTATTAATAGTTTAGGAAATGCATTTTCCTAAGGAGGTCATTTTACCCTTTCATCCCTTCCTCCTAAACTTCAAGCTCTAAGAACGTAGAATTTTTTTAATAGGAATTTTGGATTTACTTGTTTCTCCTCCAAAATATTTTTTAAAGGACCAAATCACATTTAAAGCAGCAATGAATTTCTCGAAATGGGACCACTTGATATGGAACGACTCAAATGTAGACCTACAAAAACTATAAATAATGTTTCCTCCCCCGTTTAATTCTTTTGAAATATCCTGTCTGAATGAAACTATTGCTTGAGAAGTGAAATTCTGAAAGCTTAATAACTATCTCAATATTATTTTTCTATTCGTTAACGGACCGAGATGTTAGTCTCACTTGCATTGATTGCCAGGACACAGTATATGCAAATACTTCAAGGTACAAGGAGGAATAAGGGATTACTGAGACCTCTGGCTTTTTTTGATTCCCGATTCTATAGGGGTTAGAATCATAGTCAAGGAAAGGTCGTGGGATGTGGGCTTCCCCGACCTACTTTGTCATATTCTCTCCTACGAAATCCCTCATGACCTGAGGGTGAAACCGGGAACACTGAACACGATGCCTAAGCCCTCTTCCGTCGTATTCGGTGAAAAACCCATCCTCATTACTCCCCCTCTCCAAACGCATATCCACGGGAGATTCAAGTGCATCGATGGCCGAGGCAGAGGATGTGTCGCAATCACCGCTGCAACTTATCTGTGTTCCCACTCACTTGTAAGTTCATTGCTTCTGCACACTCATTACGTTTGCCCTCTTCATTCGTGATGAATCAGTTGTCATTCTCCATTTATAGTTGTTCCTCTTGAAACCCTGCGAAATGCACAGCTTTAAATTCCATGTCGAAGATGTTGTGATTTAAAGGCTCGTCCACACCAGTACAATTTTATTGCATAATGACAGAATATTGGAAAAGAAAACTTTCAGAGATAGTCCGCACAAGAACCCTGCTGGAAAAACCTCACTTCAAACTCATGAGGTCTCATGAGACCTCACGACTTTCTCATGAGGTTGTCCGAATATCTCATGAGGAAATCCTCATGAGGTACTTAACGAGGTCTCACGACCTTCTTATGAGAATTGTGCGGTTCCTCATTAGGCTTCGAAACGTCCTCAAGAGGATCTCATGAGGTTTCTTCTGCAGTGCACAACCGACGCGAGATGGCGACTGTATTGCCGATGGGATGAATGCCCTGATCTCACTGGAACATCTCTCCTGTACTCACCAAGTTGTTTGCATTTTTATTTCTAAATTGAACATGAAGATATTTGATTTCCTAAAAACACTTGTCCGAAGAGATAGCCCAGTTTAGGGAGACTTCAGACAATTCTGGCCTACAAGATGGAATGACGCTTTGAAGATGGAATAAATGACAGTTGTTTAACCGTAAATATTCTTTCGTATATGATTACTTCTCTTTTAAGGACTCGTGGAACCTTCCAAGCTGTGTCCCAAGAGACTTTTCGTGGCTATTGGGCCACGAGGCAAGTGGCGCCTCTATGTGAAAACCCCATGAAGTCAACCTCATGAGATATCTGTTCCAAACCTCATGAGACCTTTGTCCGAAAACCTCATGAGAATCTTGTGATGTAACAAGCGATCAATATTAATTGGCCACCTGTTCCGCTCCAGATTCGAGGGTTAAGGCAGGTCCGCCAGACAGAAATTCTGGAGAAATGGAAACCCTCGTGATCTTTCCAAGTAAATTACTTAACTTTATTAAAATAAAGACAATAATGAAATATCAAAAAAAGGAAAACACAGTTCTTCACAGTACTTGTTAAAGAATTTAAGTTATTACTTAATATTGGATGGGAGAAGGATCCAACTGGGGCAAATTCTACTGGAATCTGAAGGTTATTTATATTACTGTTCTCTCTCTCTAACTTCTCGGGCCACACACCTCACACAACCAAGGGACAGGGCTAACCTTTACGCTGGTAGGTTGTCCTGGAGTCAGCTCCGGATATGGTAAGGTCACAATGGTGCCTTCCAAATAGCGACTGACTCCAGGATCCAAGTTTCTCCTAATATCCCCGGTACCTCTGGGAGGAGCTAGGGTACCTTCCTCCAAAATCCGAGGTTCGATACTGGATACTTGGATACTGGATACTGGATATTCAACTTGGCCCCCTTTTGTCCCATTGGCTACCCTTTCGGTGTTGGCCTCGACGTAATTTATTCAAAGTCACCATGATGTTGTGACTTCCTCATTATCTTAATGGATTTGGTTTTATGTGTTTGCCCCAGTTGGTTACAGGGTTGTCCCATCCTCCTTTTGACAATATTTCATTATTCTTACTTTATACTGAGTATTAGACAAAATCAGGTATTTTTTTGGTCCCGACTTAATTTATTTAAAGTCATCACGATGGTGTGACTTGCTCATTATCTTAATGGATTTGGTTTTATGTGTTTGCCCCAGTTGGTTACAGGGTTGTCCCATCCTCCTTTTGACAACATTTCATTATTCTTACTTTATACTGAGTATTAGACAAAATCAGGTATTTTTCCTTAATTCCTTATAATATGGTCAGTAATTAAGTCATCAAATCAGCTTGAAAGAATCAAAACACTTTCCTTCAATATGCAATATTAGGATTAACAATATAACACATGAAAGCCAATTTCTCAAAGGTTATAAAAAAATTAACATTGTTTCATTTCATTACAACAGACCATTAGGAAGGGAAGAGAAAGGTGGGGAAAATATTAGAGTAGAAAAGGATGAGATTCCTGCAACTCTCTTTTTAACACCTCAGGAGTAAACAGTATATTTCCTCCTTCTCTTCTTTTGTAAAAGGGCGGAAGACCCCGTTCTTCACATACTCTTCCACCCATAACATCTTTTTGATTCCAGCTGTGAGACAGAACTTCCCTAATAACAAATAATTTAATATGAATATTATGGTTGCAACTCTCACAATCCCAAACAAATGCAGACTTCAGATGGTCTCCCTCCCATCTATCTGTAGTTCCTTCTAGAATACCCAGCAAGGCCTTTCATGCCCCACTCCTACACAAGACCAAACCAAAACATTGAAAATGAGTTGACATGTAACTGAACCATGTAATTTAGCAAATTAAAATAATTGTATCCATCCATTTTAATGACACTTAGACAACCTGTCCACATCTTTAACCACTAAATCTCTTCCAAATGTTCTTTTTAAGAGTAAGGGTGTAGATGACACCCCTTATTACAGATCAATATTTCTCCTTCTGGTCTTCAGTAGAACAATTGAGCTGCATGTTCTCATTGAATTCCTAGAATCCATGAACTTAATTAATGCAAGTCAATGGAAGAACAAACATATAGTATAGGTAAGTAAAGAGAATAACACTTTGTACCAAGACTCACGAGAGGGGTTGATGAGGTAGTAAGCCTTTGCTGAATTGATAGTGTAATGCTGGGATCCCCTGAGAGCAATGTAGTGAAGGCAAGGGGCTCGACATATTGGCTGTTCCTTGAGCATTGGAATACTCTCCCATGGTAATGCCTGCACAATCTGTATCCCAATTGGAAAGAGATATAAAATAAAATTTAAATAATAACATGAACAGATAGAAAAGCCAGAAAATGAGTAACATCCACAAGGAATCTGACCTCATCCAAGACAAGAATCACAGGCCCCCTGGCTACAGATTGGAACTGAGCTGCTTTGGGAAGGCGGTCTTTCATTTGATCGATGCGATAGAGAAGCTGGTCCACAGCACCATCAACTTCAGATGACCCAAGGATGGCTGATATGGCCTTGGTCAGGCTTTCCTTGGTCAGGCTATCTGCTGCCCATAGTAATTGATGGAAGATCTCATGGAGGCCTTTACTATTCAAAGTGTGCAGTGGTTTAGAGAGGAAGTTCTCCATGGCCTTGACCTGAACAGCCAGACGCCGATCCAGTGGCTTCCCCAGCAGGAACACTCCCATCCAAGAGTCCAACCACACTTCCTCCATATCCCGTAGCATTATCTGTCATCACATTACAAATCCACCAACATCCCTTACAGAATTCTAGCAGGGTCAATTTGATGGCACACAGCATGTCATGGGTTTCAATGTCTATAAGGCCTCACTGATTGAACAAATTTTAATGTAAGCTAAAGCCTTTAAGGCCAATCTAGATACTATTTAAGAATTTCTAATTATTAGCATTCTGAATGATGTATGAATAAAATTGACTGTAATTTATTCAAACTATTTGGCACAAGAGAAGGTTTGGAAATGAATAGTCTCTGAAATGTAGGATGAAAAAATGTAGGATGTAGGATGAAAAGTACTAGCAAGTAATCATGATAGTTTGCTTCAGAGAGCATTCTTTAACCCCTTACCTGGCAAGCCTGAGAATTTCTCAGGCTTGCTGGTTAAGGAATTAAACCTAGTTCATTCTATGAAAGACCTCTATTTGTGCTATTTTGGGCAAGAAAACCTCTTGTGTACTAAAGTGCAGTCCCTTTGGAACCTGATGAAGATACATCATGATTTCACTCCTCCATTTAAACTTCCCAGATATCTCAAGGTATTCACTAATGTGGAAGTTTCAGGCAAAATTGTGATTTTCTAAATCAAAGGCTGATGCACAATGGACAAGCCTCTAAGTTTCTCATTAAAAAATAAAAAAGTTTTGTGCTTTGAAACAAACAAGAAATTGTTTTTTTTTTTACCTCAATGGATGGATTGAATTTTTCATTTTTGCAATTGCAAGGACTTGGTTTTGACCTTGTATTCTAATTCCCAGTGAATTACAATATCAGAGGTTCAACTTCTCTTTCATTCTGCTTATCTCTATCTGGGTGAAATCTTTTAGCATCCTGTTGGGGTGTAGGTCAATCTGCAGATGACCATATGTAGGAATAAGGCTCCCCTCACCAAAGAAAATTTTGGCATGTCCATCTCTTTGCAGGCTGAATGTTATCTGTCAGCTTGGCCGATAGTTTATTCTTTTAGCTCGAGTGGTTTTATTGTGAGACATTTTCAACCAATAGTCAATGGCATGTACAGATGGACTTCAGCTGAAACTGCCTCTGGAAAGGGGAGTACTCCTGATTTTTGTACAATATTTCTGGAAAGCTATGTTGACCCCAGAAACAGATTGAATTTGTTGTTGGTGCTCTACAGGGCATCCCATAAGTCATTATAACATTTTATAAATTCACATCTACTAAACAGTTGGTACAAAAAAGAAGTAACATTAACTGAACAATAGCATATCATTTGGAATTATCTTTGTCAAAAATGGAGGCATTTCTGAAGATTGAAAAAAGCCTCAAAATGCCCTCTGCCTATATCCATACATTTGGCATGAGGCTCACCACCAAAATATTGCCAAAACTCCCTTTGGACTCTGTTAGGACTCTCAAAGATCTCTCTCCAGGTAGCAACATTCCTTTGCTCCTCAAGTGTCAATTGCAAAGCCTTTTCTCATGACAGTGAAAGCAAATTAAAGGAAATTATGCATTTTTTCTGTTTCTTAGGTTTCTCTAGAATTAGGAGAGAAAAGCATGAAGTTTATGAATCTTTGTGAAAGAGGAATCAACAAGGTGTAGGGTAAGGTGGGGCTAATTGGTCTTGATTTATTCTGTAAGTTATCACCATTTACAGATTTCGTTCTTTGGCAGAATATGAAGTTGAATGACATGACCAGTTGAGGTTTCAAAGGTTTTTCTGTAGGTCTATCTTAGCTTACAAATTAAGTCGTGACCGAATAGTCCCACTGCCTGATTAGCCCCACCTTACCCTACCATAAATCGCCCTAAAGACGTACACGTTTCTGATGTGCTTATGAAGAAATTTTTTAGTCTGATTCCAAGTCATTATTGTGAAAAAAATTTATAAAGAACGTTCTTTCCATAAACATGAAGAGATTTGGTTGTTGCAGTTTGAAGTGGTATAGTGACTTACAGGACACCCTGTAAACAGGTGTACACCCAACAAAGCCGACTGAACAGCGTAAATAACCAAGCCTAGAGCTTCTGTATCTTTCCTTTTGAAGCTTTCTTTTGCCTGGAATTTTACAATAGTTTGATGATGCTTGCTTTCTTAGAAAACTCATGGGGTTGCTGGACTATAGCTTTTTAAGGACCTGCCTCTTTGTCATAGAGACCTCCCTATGCATATAAAAGAGGGGAAATAAGAAAATAGAAATGGAAATAGAGAGAGAGAGGGGGGGGGGGACCCTGGAAATCTCTTACATTCAAATCAAAGCAGATCTCCTTCTTGAGCTTCTCTGTATGCTTGTCCCTGGTGGAATTAGAACTATTGATGACCATGTTGGTTTCCTGCAGTTTCTGCCACTTCTTGGAAAACAACAAAGGCTTCCCTTTATGGGTGGGGGATGGAATATGAAGGACAAGAGGGGGTGCATTATGGGAGATTCGAGTCAACAGCAACTGAGGCTCCCTCTCATCTCCATCCATCACTGGATTTGACAACACAGTCAACTGCACCACTGTCCAGTCTGAAAAGACATACATTCAATAAAGTTCTATATAATCAAGGACAAAAAATTACCACAAATTCACAAACACACTTGCTTTCAACATCAAGTAAGGAATTATAGGCCATATGATATTTATTTCCCTCTGTTACAGATGAAAAACACCTAAAATTCATGAAACGAGAATGAAATGGTATCTTGATGGAAGTGCAGAGGAGGCCATGGAAAAACCTGGTTTACCTGGTATAAAACCCAATATGAATTTCCTTCAACTTCACAAAAATTTTTAATGTGGGTTCATGCTTCCATTCTTGACAAGTATCAGTTGAAAGCAAAGGTTTAAATGATCAAGTAATACTATTGTAGTAAATTGAGAGGTACCCGATTAAGCCAAAAATGACCATGAAACAGAGAAAGAGATTATATAGACTGACCTGGTTCTATGGACTCCTTCAACTTCTCAATTATATCTCCTTCCCAAGCAAATTCCATAATGTCATCCTTATATGGGACACCAAGCTCTTCTGCTTTTGTCAGGCTATACACCAAGGATGATGGAGAAGGAAGCTATAGTTTCTGCTGAACCTTACATGCTTCTGCACCAATAAGCATCAATGCCCAAGGCAACTATCGACAACACTGTAGAAGGCATGCCTTAATAAATCCCTACTACATTTCATTTCAATTCCCATAAAAAGTCATGCTGGAAAAAATGAAGATCCAAATTCTTGTCAATTTCAATATGTCTTGTTCAAAATGACTTTATTTACATGATATTCCTTTAATGCTATTTGAAAACCAATCAAACCCTGATCATTTCTCCCATCATGGCTTCAATTGTAACAAAGCACTACAGGGCTATGCTAGTCATACTATTTCATAATGGAACTTTAAGGCAGGGAACTTGATTCAGGATATTCTTGAGGGAATACTATGCATTCACAAATAAGGTAACAAGTGAATTCCTCTTCACATAACAAACCTATTCCGAATAGAATCATTCTCTTTTAGGAACTTCTGTCGACTTTGGTTGATGTGTTTGGATCTGAAGGAAAGGGAATGGATGTTTGCAGCAGCCTTGGCAGCTCCCTGCATATCTCTTGCTTCCAAGCATTTCCTTGCCTCCTCACGCATCCAGTCTGTGTAACAGCACAATGGCATGAAAGATCAGAAGCAAGAACTAAAAAATGTAACTTGAATGGGCAAAAAGAAATGGCTTTGGTCAGATATGGGGCTTCAATCAACATAACTTTTCATAAGTTGGAGTTCTCAACAGTAGGAATCTGCTTATACCCCAAGATAATTTCCACAATAAGAATAGGGTGGTCCACAATTTTCTCCCAAAATTAAAAGCTTATTAGGAAGGAGGAAGTTTATATCTGATTTCAATTATATATGACTCAAACGATAGCCAATTCAATATGTTTTTACTGTGGGAAATTTCAGCATTCCATATGAAACTAGAATGAAGTTACATCCTTACAAATGAAAGCCACCAAATCATTAGTGTTCAATATGACTTCCACAATTTTCAATGACTTAGAACAGTCTCTCTTTGAATGCCATCAGAATTATCTTAGTCATCTCTGGTCCTACTGTGGCGAAGACATCTCTAATGGCCTGTTTCAGCATATCTAGGCTGTTGTAGGTCCGCCGATGAATCTCTTCAGATTCAGAAACTTCTTATGAATTGTTTTCATGATCTTCTTATGAGGAATTGAGGCTTTTGGACCCAAATGAAGAACTTTCCAAATTTTCCCTGCACAAATTTGCTCTCTTCAAATTATCAAACCAAATGGCAATATTGGTCTTCTACAGGATACTGAGGTCACCCATGACACAGACAATCCGTCATGATGCATGAAAAATCCACAAATGAATTGCGAAACTCAGGAAGGAATTGGGAGTTTCAGAAGGGTTTATGATATTTACACACTTCAGCTGCACGATATGGGTATTTTCATTTGTTGTGGTGTAACTTTGTTCTAGTTTCTTATGGAATGCTGACATTTTCCACAATAAAAATATATTGGATTGGCTATCATTTGAGTCACATATAATTGAAATCGGATTCGTACTTCCTGAGTAATAAGCTTTTACTTTTGGGGAGACAATTGTGGACCACCCTGTATTCAACCAAAGCTGTGATTTGATGACTATTGTCTGCTGTTAAATGTGACTAATTGATTAATTCATTCATTCATGGCTTCATTCCCAAGGAATATTAACTTCTTTCAAATTATTCATTTTACTTATAGATACTTTCAAAATTTAGTTTTTGCCTTTGCTATTTTAGAAATAGTACTATATTGGCAGTATTCACTCGCTGTTATAAAAGTAGGACTCCAGAGGAATGGGGATCCAGGTATTACTTGCCTACTTTACCAGTAAAGCTATATTAATTGTAACATTTGCAAGATTATGAATAATATTGACCTAAACCTTATTGGCAAAGTGGCTTCACTACTAAATCTCCATTTCCAATTTGTTTCATTTAGCCTTCATTTAAGATGCAAATAAATCTTGCAAAAGTACCTGTCCAGCAGAGAACCAGCTCTTGCTCTCTGATTAAACTCAGGCAAGGTTTAAAACCAGAGTTATCTTAGAAAATGACTTGGTTTGGGTTCATTTATTTGTCTCACTTTTCACTTCAGGTGATGTTGGATGTAGGAGCCATGGCAAGGAGTTCTGATCCCCACTCATCCTTCCACCTGAAAACATGAGAATTAAAAATTAAATGTTAATAGTCAGGCTATGGCTACCTAGTAAACCAAGATTGCATCCCAAACAGAACAGCACAGGGACCACTGCCCTCAAGCATAAGGAAACCCCGCTCTTATGATATGACCATGACTGATAATATTGTTGTTCTCCTTCTTCCAGATATTGAAGAAATTGATTTACCCTTGGCATGAAGGTGAAACTAGCAACTAGAAAAAAAAAAGTGTTATAATAAGGCATTCAAAGTTCATTTGCAGGATGCCAAGCTAGGCCTAAGCTCTAAATGAAAGGATCTAACTGTCCCATCAGCAACCCATGCTCTGATGAGTCATGACTCCACAACCAAGAAGTTTATCCACATATAGAGGTTATGGACCATCATTTATGGATGATACCAAGGAAAAGTATGTGTATGAGGTGACCTTGCATATAAAGCCTCTCTCCTCGTCTATCATAAACCCAGACATGTACTAGTACAAGATGCTAATTTTTCTGAGCCACTAGGCTAAATTTATACATTTTAAGATAAGTTAGGACTATGAAAACCCATTCCAGTAGCTTCCTTTTCTACACACTCCATGCCATAATTCCTTACTTTCCATATGTGCAGTGAAGGTATTATGGATTCAGGAAACATTTAGGTAGTCTTTTTGCCTAAACCAGTAGTTTGAAATTGTCCTTCCCTCCCTCCCTCAGAAGAAGGCATGAGCCTAGTATGTATAATGCAATTCAACTGATGTGCAAGGGAGGAGACTACTGAGTAGTAATGAGGAAGAAGAGAATGAGCATGAGAGCTCATGATGGAGATGGGGAACAGGAAAGCAGAAACTGCAGTTCATGCTCCAATAGCATGTCTGCTTAGTACAACTAAGCCTGTTCAGGCCTGAGAAGACCCTATTTTCAATCATTTCACCTGTCATGCCCAACAAAATAATGCCATCAACTCAAACTGTACTCAATGAAACTCCAAACAATTTTCCATGCAATTATATGGAATCAGTTTTACAGCATTTTGACTTTTGAACACTTTCATCTGACAGTTTTTCACTTGACTTGGACACATGCCTGAGGAACACATCATGCATGCGTGTATGCGTCGAGTGAAAAATTATCTGCCTCCAGTGCTACACATTGTTACCCGTTAAGGTCTGCCTGGGCCTATAGGCATGAGACATGCGAGATAACTTCACACTTAGTTCTAGACGTAACAAGGACCTTCATCACTATAGCTTCACCTAAGAGTCTAGAACTATGGCCTTTGAGGCCTACGCTTTAGTCTCTCCTCTTGCTAGGTCCACAGCTAACCTTGGCCTACTAACTCAAGACAGGAATTATAAAGTATGCTTTTCACTATGTTAGATGGAGAATATGGTACTTACTGAATGTCACTGGTCCTCAATGAGGTCTGGGTTCAACGTTAGGCATGTCATAATTTTCACGAATTAAAATACGTCCAGTAAGATGCTATGTTCGTTAGCCGCGCTTAGGTGGGTTTAGAACTAATATCTCGTTTCAGTGTTGCCAAAAGGCAACACTGAAACGAGATATTAGTTGAGAATCCGAAATCAAGACGGTTAACCACCAAAAAGTACAATAGTCAAAAAGCAGAGAAAAAAAATCAGAGTATGAAGCCAAACGACAGATTCATGACTGCTATGCACTACATTTAGGCAATGCTGTTTTCCCCTATTCTTTCTAATAGATATCTGATGACCTGTTAATGACGCAGTAGATCCACTTCACGACTTTTTACAGTGGCAGTGGCGCTTAGGGGGGGGGGGGGGTAACCGCCCCCCCCCCCCCCCCCCCCCCCCCCNCCCCCCCCCCCCCCACCATGGCCAGGTTAGCATTTCATTTATTTATTCAAAATAGCATCTGCATTAAATTTTATTGGAGCCAGTGAAATAGATACTCAAGTTCTTACCCCAGTCGAAAAATAAAAAAGGCGAAAGGAATGGTGTTAGGCGGGGGGGTAAAGATAGTGTGGGCTTAGCGGCGGACCTCACCAAGGAGTGGAGGAGGAGCCACCCCCTACCGGACACCTCCCACCTCCAAGAGACCTCCCCCGGACCGGGACAAGGGGGTGGAGGCGAGACTAGATGGTGGACGAGACACAAAGTGGATGTGATCGTGTGACATTGTATAACGGCGTGTATTGTATGTCTGGATTGTATAGGGATCTGTAAATTATTCCCATCGTCCTCGACTTATCAACTTCCCTCCTGCCTGGTGCCTGTAGACTGTACGAGTGAGTTGTATACATTCAATATATCCATTGTTATTGTTGCTGAACAGCCTAGTCCTTCCGAATCTCACCGGTACTTATCTAATTGGAGTCAGTCCGTATATAATAGCGCCCTCTTACGTACATGGAGAACACGCGATCCCATTCGGCGGCCTCGCCCACAGTAGAAACTTGAGAACTCTATGAACAATTTCTGTATCCCCCCCTGCTGCTGCCTACAATTTATTTAACATTGCAGCAATTTGATCATTTTCATTGGGTTTTACTGATACTAAGGATCGGCTTTTATCCCTCATTTTCCCTAGCAGTATTGCTAGAGAAAAACTTTGGATCAATATAGTCTATAGGTTGGGCCAACCTATAGACTATATTTCTTGAGCGGCTCTTTAGGCCAGTAATATGATAAAGTGGGGGAGAGCGGTGGTTGGGAGGAATAAGAAAATTTCAAAAGCCCTTTCTCATACATTTTGCGGAGGATGGGGGAGGAAGCGGGGGGGGGGGGGACTCTATTTTCTCATTCCATAACTGTATCTATTCCCGCACCGTTTCTGAACGTGTGGAAGGATTGGTTTCCCTTCAAATGGATTGAGTGGATGAAAAAGATCCAATGGGGAAATCTAAAGTTCTCGGAAACCTATGTCTATATTCATTTTAATTGATGTTAATCGCCCATTTGAGTATTAAAAAAAAAAAGAGTAAAAGGAGACGGGGAAATGTAGGGTTAAATGGTGGAAATAGAGATTGCAATACCGAGAGAGAGATGAACGAGGGCAACGTCCAAAGTGTAACTGATCCTGTTTGGCCAATCTGGGAAGGTCCAGGCATGAAACTGGGACTTTGCGAGTTTTGCAATAGGGGAGAGGGAAGTCAACAGACGTTCCCACGTTTCCAATGCCCACTCCACTGTTAGTAAGGGTAGTTGGTGCGGGAGGGTAGTAGGGTTGGCTCTGTGTTGTGAGTGATTTGTTACCCTTCTCATAAGAAATTCCAGTCGCATAATTTATTTTTTTTTTATGAAAAAAACTTGTTGCGTCACATTTGTGCAACCCCCCCCCCCCTCCCGTAACAAATCGTAACACTTTGTCTGATCCTCCCCTCCCCTCTTGTGCGCTACGTAATTTGTGAACGGCCCCAAGCTGATACCTGATAGAGATATCAAGATTCAAGATAGTGATATCAAGAGGCGATTTCGCCCATTTCGATATCAC